GCCGGGGAGGTGGTGAGCGAAGTCACGGCGTTGGGGTGTCGTGTGTCGTCCCCCAAAGTCCCGGGATGATTAGTGTTGGTACCAAGGCATCTCTTCATGCGGAAAATCCTTGTCTCCTGGAGTCGTGCTGGTACGTACTGGTCAGAGGAAGGTGGGGCTGACGGGCGCTGACGGTGTCCGCAGAGCTCCGGCGCTCTCGGGATGGCCGCTGCGGGATGGCTGCGTGCTCTCATGCCTCGTGTGCGTGACAGCACCACGACGAGAGCCGAAAGCGGCCCAGATTTTAATCATACATCATTGCCCCTGTCTGCCAGGTCCATAAACTTCGCCTGCAGGCTGAAATAGCATTGACTCGTCCTGAACTCTCTTCCAGTGGCTGATTACTGAAGTGGAATCTGTCTGATCGACTTAATAAGAATTTACCGCTGCACTAAATGACGAGAATTTGTTTTTTGCATGGCTGGGTTTTTGCAGTTGATGGCATTTTGAGTTCTCCCTCCCGGAGGCAAATAATCCCCATAAATACTCTCGTTCCTGACCTCGTTAGTCAGATCCGGAGCCAACAGCGCTTTGAACTGTTGTCTAGAGAGCTGCTCTAGACATTTCTAAACATGTTGGGAAGCGAGAAAGCTCTGACCTGTGCACCTTGCAATAACAATGTAGGGTTCCTGCAGAGGACCAACAGCCTGGAAGACAAGGGCCGGATGGTCAGCTCCATGAAGGAGAGGCAGTCTTCCAAGAGCCTGCTGGCCTGCGAGAACAGCGAGAAGGAAGCCAGGTTCCGACGCACCGAGACAGACTTCTCCAATTTGTATGCCAGAGGTAAACGCTCTTTACAGCTTCGGCGTGCTCCGGCTCGGGCGCGCCCCTGAGCAGTCTGCCCTCGCCTCCCGTGGAAGCGCAGCCGCCTGCAGACCGTGCTTTGAGTGGTTGTCGTTGAAGGAACCTCTGTGTGTGTGTGTGTGTTTGCCGAGAGACACGCTGGCGAAGCTTCCTGAAATGCAGTTTTACGTGCTTTGGGCTCACCCTCTGCAGCTCAGCTCCAGGGGTTCCTCCGGGGCCACTCCAGGTCCAGCCCCCGTGAGCAGAGTAATTTTGTATTTCATTTCCTTCCCAGTAAAACAGTAAGGAAACGGTCCGTGACTGCTGCACGGGGCCTTTGACGAGGAGGGTGGGGAAGGGAAACCAGTCCCTTTGCGGTGGGGGTGGGGGTTGCAGGAGAAAGGCAGGCGCGAGTTTGGGGTGCGCCCGGCCCCCGAGGGGTGAGTGCCCTGCACCGCGTTCACCGTGCGCTTGGCCGGGGTGCCCCGGAGGAGCCTCCGACGCTCCCGTGGGAGCCCCGGGCTCGCCCTTCCCCGTCCCGGGAGCGCTGCGGGCGGCCGGGGCTGCCGCGTCTTCGCCCTTC